AATACACAATGTACAACACAAATCACTCTATTACAAAATAAGACATGTGTCATATAGAAAATAGTCTATTAATTTACTAGATGATGAACAGTATCATAGAAATAACTTACATTTTATTATTATCACTGTATTACATTTTAACAAACACAATCCAACAACATGTATTTTGAAGCAGTATCTACTTTGGGTGAAGTACTTCTAGTCTGTACAAGCTGTTACAAATCTGAGCCTTAACTCTTACCATCGCTTGTCACCACTTTCTATCTGGTTGCCTGCATTCTAGTTGGTAAGCCAGACTTCTGTTTTATTTCTGAAAATGTCCCACTGTCTCATGTTTAGGATTTTGCTCATGTTTTCCCACCTTCCCCACTGAACACTTCTTACTCTTCATAGTTCATCTTAAGTCTCATGTCCAGTGATACGTGTGTGTTGTCAACCCAGCTTGTACAAGCTGCCTCGTCATTACGCTAGGTTTCCTTGTAACATGTTTTAATCATGATTCTCTGTATATTTATCTTCTTGTTCACAGTAAGTAGGAGGAATTTCCAAAACCAAAACCACATTTAATCTGAGTCTGCATTCTCAGTTCCTAACACAATGCCTTTATCTTCTTAGGTCCTCCCCCTTTCAACCCCCTCCTCCCGGCAAAGTTGTAAAGTTCGTTTTCAACATAGCGTCCTGTGCATCTCATCCTTACAATGGGTCATCCTGTATCCTTACTTCAGCATTTTATTATTTCCCTTTCCCTCCCCAAATTAGAAAAATGTATATACAAGATGCAGGGCACCAGAATCAAATACAATGACAACAGGGGTTGTACCACGGGGGAAGAACATACAACCAAAAAAATCACAAAGTGCACAGATTGTCAAAACCAAGAGATTCATATTTTGAGGGACAATCACAAAAATTCATTATTTGAATATGTCTTTAAATTCATAGGGAACCTTATTTGCATGAATGAAAATTTCTGTTATTGATGATAAACTGCTGGGATATTGCTTTCTTTGAAAAACAAACTGATTTTGAAATTATATCACTTTTAGATAACTGTAGAACGAGTCATATAATTTACTGGAAACATAGGGAGCTTCAGTATCTTCTTCATTCACTTTCTCTCAGGAAGCTCTTGAATGAACATTGAGTTTTATACCAAATATAAACCTAGAAAATTACAGGCTACCTATGTAAAAATCATCAGACAACATTCCAAAATGAAGCTCTATTTCAAAAGTAATTTTACAGCAAATTAGATCATCATCACCAAAGAGCAGAGAACACTGGAGAAATTCCTTTTGAAAAAGTAGAGAAGTCTTCTAGTCTCAATCCTTCAGAAAGTCACATTTACATTTGTAAATGTTTAAAATAAATATAGTCACTGTCAGCTGGGAGAATGTGGCCTAGTGGTAGAGTGCTTGCCCAGCATGCATGAAGCCCTGGGTTTGATTTCTCAGTACCACATACACACAGAAAAAAAGCCGGAAATGGTGCTGTGGCTCAAGTGGTAGAGTGCTGGCCTTGAGCAACAGAGCTCAGGGACAGTGCCAAGGCCCTGAGTTCAAACCCCAGGACTGGCAAAATATATAAATGAATAAATAAAATATAGTCACTGTCCAAAGTATAACTTATTGATATATGGTGCACCTAAAACTTGTTTTTGGAATGTAAGGGGGCTATAAATCACCTAGGTATTTCTTTTTCCTTCTATCCTTTTCCCTTTCCTTTTTTCCTTCCTTCCTTTGTTTTCCTTTTTTCCCTTCTTTCCTTCCTTCCTTTCTTCCTTTTTATTTCTTTCCTTTCTTCCTTTCATCCTTTTTGTGTATTGGGGATTGAACCCAGAGCCTTATGCATGCTATGCAAGAGCCCATATTGACAGTGTCTTCCCACCTGAGCTACAAACAAACACACACACAAAACAGCATACAGATGTGTTGGAGCATCACATAATGCCCTGTGAGATATAAAATATGTTATAAATTTTTAAAATCCTTTTCAAGTTAGCTTTATCTAGGTAAGTTGAGTGATTCTTTAGATACTGAGTTTCCATTTGTGATAAAATAGACAGGGACTTCTTAGCTAAATGTGATCTACCTCATGCAGCCTCAGTGAAGGATTTGGTAATATCTATATCATAAGCTTCTACTTTTAAGTAAACTCAATCTTGTTCCTGTATCATAATCCCACCATCACTTTTCATTTGTTTCATTTTTTCCTTGGCTAAATTATTCCTTATTGCTGTCTTTTCTGTGTATTTCCACTTTGCAATTTAGTGACATTATGCACTTGCTTTTTGAGTAAAACAATTAGGTAGTACCCTAAATATTTAATGCCAGAATTCAACCTCCTGCCTTGCTCTGTATCACGTGGTAAGACTTTAGGACTTAGACATTACTCTTCATGACATAGCAACATGCATTAAGTCCTAATGTGCGATCAGTGTGGTTAGACAGTTTTGCAAGAGGACTCACTTGCAGAAATAGGAAGGAGAAGAAAGGTATTAAAGAGAGAAAAGTGAGAAACTGAGAGCAAGACAAGCTGAAAAACCAGAGGCTTAGATGTTAGGCCAAGCATAATGCCCTGTAGCACCATAGAGTACTGTAATACATCATATCACCTAGCATCTTCTAGTATCTTCTGCCTGTTCAACTGGAATTATACATAACAATAACTCCTTAGAGGGCTACTATGGAAGTTAAAGAAATATTTTAAAAATACTTTAAAATATGCAAATAAATGTGGTATATGTATTTAATGGTAGAAGGCATAAACGCTAGGATGGATTACAATGAAAGCAATGGCCAGCATGAGGAAAGGACTGTTAAATATAACAATGTTGTCTTCTTCACTCTTCAAAAATTTTTTATTAGTTTGAGTTTACAACTAGAACAATGTACTTTCTCTGTGCTAGATCAGACACTTTGTACAGGATACAGAGAAAGAATATTCCACAGCATATAGTCTTGGCCCAAGTCTCTGATTAGGCTTTGCAGTTACCAAGTGCTAGCATTTCCATTAGTCCAAAAAGCCAGCTTGTGAAGAGTAAGATGCTAGTCCCATCGTAAGAGTGTGCTACTGTGCCGCTCTGGAACGCATATGAATGTACCCTTTGTATGTAATGTTTATTACAGTGTTTCTCATGCTAGGTGATACCTGAAAAGTTATAATTTGTGATCATCTTATGGAGTGTTGTCTGTTCTATTCAGGATTTACATTTAAATGATGAAGTTCCAAAATGTAGAACTATGGAGAAAAACTTCCCTCTAAAAATGAGTGAGATCCTAAGCTCTCTTTAACATGTTGCATGCACTGTCTCATTTATCAACACTAGATTGTAAGAGAGAAGTTACTATGGTGCCCACTTTGTAAATAACATTGAGACACAGAGACAGTTCTGTGATTTGTCCTATGGCCATTACTAATAACACATGCAGAGCCAGGGGTCAAAACCAGATCTTCTGGCTCCAGAGTCCACATGCTAATTGTGCTGCTACTTCCCTACCCTACCTTTCTAAAGAGTTGTGAAATAAGTGGTTTTCATTCCTGAGATTTTCTTAACCTGAAATGTGTGGGCTGTTTGAGCACAATATCAAATGCTTTCCCTAAAGCTATCTCCAAACTGTTCAGACAAAATCATCTTTAGACGCACCAATCTAAACTTTTCTATTAAAAGGGAAAGGACCTGACTGTTAGTTACTAACTCTCATCAGTTTTCCCCTCTTTCTAGAAAAAAATTTCAGCAATCCAGGTTATTGATTCTGTTATTTTAAAGACTGTGTGGATGTTGGAAGTAATCAGTCTATATCTCAGAATGTCCACACGTTTGCCAAAAACGAACTTATCAGTTAAGTATAGCCAAGAGATTTAGTTTATCTAAGTGTCCTACAAAAGAAAAATAGTTTACCAATGTTTTTACAGATTGAGGTAAATCTGACATATCATTGACATATGCTATGGATTTAATTTAATACCATAGTACAGATGTGGGCTCTGATAAGGGTTTGTGAAATCTAGGCTAAGATGAGTAAAGTTGTTTCAATATTTATGGGGTTTGAAAATGCAGAGTTAGCAAAGGAAGCATTTTAATTAAAACAATATTTTCCTGTATATGGAAGGGAATCCTTTTAAAGCTTTACTACTTGTTCCCTGGGTTTGCTTGAAATACTGGTTAGGTTTGGGTTGTTTTTTTGTTTTTTGTTTTTGACACATTTAAACAGGTTTGCTTTCCTTTCTTTTCCCTCACCCCCAATTTCTTTTAGCCTTTGTTTCTAGAGCTGAAAAAATATACATAATAGATTACAAGTGTTTTCTTTTTGTCTTGGTCATTTATCTGTCTTTTCAAGTAGGTGTAAAGAGAGCACAGAAATAAGAGAGACAAAAGGTGAACCAGGCTGGGAAAGTAGCTCAGTGGTAGAGTGCTTGCCTTGCATGTATGAGGCCCTGGTTTTGATTCCTCAGCACCACATGAGCAGAAAAAGCCCGAAGTAGTGCTGTGGCTCAAGTGGTAGAGTGCTAGCCTTGAGCTGAAGAGCTGAGGGACAGCACCTAGGCCCAGCGTTCAGGCCCCACGAAAAAAAAAAAGTGAACCAAAAAATGCAGCAGTGGTATCTCACTAGACACTATGTTGAAAATGAACTATATACAACTTGTGGATGGGGATGGGAGGGAAAACTGGAAGAGAGCAAAGGAAAGAGGTAAAGATGTTTGACAAGAAATGTACTCATTACCTTACTTATGTAACTGTAACTCCTCTGTACATCACCCTTACAATAAAGTAAAATAAAGTTAAAAAGAAAAGAAAGACATTGTCTAAAAGGAAATTCACTCCTTCCCTGACATATGTAATAGAAACCACTCTGTACAAAACCTTTTTAATAACAATGAAAAATTCTAATATATATGTATGTATACATAAATAGTAGAAAATCGTTTCAGCTGATTTTACTTTGTCAACTAAATTTGTACAATGTTTACAATCAGCTTTTGTAAATTATATGTTTTAGGTATCCTGGAAATAACATCAGTGGAAATTGGAGTTGTTGCCGTCAAAGCCATTAACAGCAACTATTACTTAGCCATGAACAAGAAGGGGAAACTCTATGGCTCAGTAAGTATTCTGCTCTTGTTTACAAAATCCACCACACAAATCCATGGCCACAGTTTGGGAATGTTTATTCCACACATTGAAAAGCTTGTCATTGTTCTATTGCTGGTAAATAGAGCACAATGGACAGATCTTTTGAGTCTCAAGGGCCCACACAGCAGCTTATCCAACTCTGCCACACAGGCTGTTGCTGGCGTTTGTGAATCAGATACATAGAAGCATCTGGTCAGATTGGCACCGGAGCTGCAGAAATTTTGGGGAAGAAGACTCTGAACTGAGTAGGTTGGCGGTGTGTGTGTGTGTGTGTGTGTGTGTGTGTGTGTGTGTGTGTGTGTGTGTGCTGTTTTATAGCTGAAGGTAAAATGGGATTATGGTTTACATTTTGTTAAAAATCAGAAATGAGGAAGTATACCAAAAAACACATTGTTTTGTATGTTATTCAAGGAAGCCTAAAGATTCCTTTTTTCTAGACAATAATCATTAATTTGTATTGTTCTTGAACATCATCAATGGAAAAATATTCTATACCATTCATTGCAGGCACTATGCTGATAGTGCCTGCAAGCAATACCAAGTATTAGTATGTGTGAATTCCTCTGCCGCCTGCAGTGAAACTCGCCCCAGTTCTCTTATGGTCACATTTAAATTAACAAAGAGCTAGTTTAGAATTAAAGTCATTAACATTGCAATTGTAATTAAAACTGAACTATAGACAGTATAACAATTTATCTTGCTCTAGACATTCACACAATGAGACCAAAGGAAGATATTCTTAGGAGAGGATCACAAAGGCTCAATAGCATAGGTATATGATCAAATAAAATGATGTTTATTGAAATGAACTCCAAGCAATGGAAACAAGAGATTTTCTTGTTATTTTGGCTTTGGTTTTGTTCTTTTGTCTCCTTTGTCACTGTTTTTGTTTTGTATGTAAGTTCATGTACACTTTGGGGAGGGTAAGAGGGAGCACAGAAATGGTGGGACAAAGGGTGAGCAAATGCAGCCGTGACGCTCACTAGACACTGTTGAAAATAAACTGTACAATTTGTGGGGGAGAAGGCTGTGAGGCAAAAAACTGGGACAAAAAAGGAAAGAGGTGACGCTGTTCAAAAAGAAATGTACTCATTACCTGACTTACTTAACTGTAACCCTCTGTACATCGCCTTTATAATAACAATAAAAAATTATCCATTTGCTCTTTTGTGAAGAAATATGTTGATTAAGTGTATGAACATCTACCTGCCATATGCCAGATACTTTTGGACATATCTTTGATAAGGCTTAATTTCAAGTAATTTAATATATATCAACATGTTAACAATTATGAAATAATTACATAACCCATACTTGTTAAATACAAGGAAGACTTGAGAACAGCACGGTAGCCCTGTGATAAAGGTAGGAACTGTGCGTTAGTATCTTAATTACTCAAAGGGTGACATAACTTGACTGGTTTGTGACTGTAGTTGCATTTTTTTATCCCAGTCTCAGCTTGATCAAGGAAATGCTAAATGAAATAAACTTTTTATTTCTGGGTCCCATTCTAGGAGGAGTATATAAGCTAACTATCAAAGTTGTACTACATGTTGGAGGCTCTATACCAATATCAATGTGAGGAAATAAAACATAGTTCACGTAAAACTCATGGTTTTGCTCACCTGAAAGCACTAATTCAAGTCTAAAAATGTGTTTATAATACTGACTCAGTAATTTGAGCCATATGATTTCAAACGCATAATCTATTTTGTGATTAGGAGTTTTACTCTACTGTGGTTGACATTACATATTAAGCACACCACTTGAGTAAAATGACAACTTGCAGTCATAATTATGGGCTGTGGTGGTTCTTCAGATGGTTTGGGTCATGTCGAATCCTCACCTTTGGAATGAAATATTGTTTTTCCTTTGCAGAAAGAATTTAACAATGACTGTAAGCTGAAGGAAAGGATAGAGGAAAATGGATACAATACCTACGCCTCCTTTAACTGGCAACATAACGGCAGACAAATGTATGTGGCATTGAACGGAAAAGGAGCGCCCAGGAGAGGACAGAAAACACGAAGGAAAAACACCTCAGCTCACTTTCTTCCGATGGTGGTTCACTCGTAGAGGAAGACAGTGTTGGTGGATATCAAAGGCTCTTTGGCCAAGAACAGTTACCATTCTTCATGAACGTGATAATACTGAAGGCAAACACGTCACAGACATCTGCTCGTTGTAATGAAAGGAAGCCTTTGGAGATGTTTTTATTCACTGCTGACGTACCTATAATGTTCTTTTCATTAGCTCTGTGTCATGCCTTATAACCAAGATATAGGCAGATCGAATGAGATGGAAATTATTCCCAAGAGAACAACATTGTGGTTGAGTATTTTTTTTGTCATTATTGTCGTCATTGCTGTTCGATTGTTTCTGTTTGTTTTTATTTTTTATTTTTTTTTTGGTTGAGCTTTTGTTTTTGAAACCTCTGAGATAGAACATGAAACAATCTGCTGAATGATCTTCGGGAAAGTTATTTATGGAATACGAACTCATATCAAAGACTTTCTTTGCTCAATCAAGCCTAGTAATTTGATGAGCGGGAAGACATGCAAGCATTTACTGGAAAAGCACTTGGGTCATACCATATACATAGCCAACCAAAAGAGCTTAGAGTGTGGTACCATGGAAGAATTGGATAGGCGTTAAAAACATAACACATTAGGGTGAAACTGTTCTAACAATACAAATAGTATGGTATGCTTGTGCATTCTGCCTTCATCCTTTTCTATTTCTTTCTAAGTTATTTATTTAATAGGATGTTAAATATCTTTTGGGGTTTTAAAGAGTATCCTCAGCAGTTTCCCTCTGCCTTACCTTCTGTTTTTTTTTTCTTCAACACACCACATGCATGTTCACGACAAAGTATTTACAAAGAAAAAAAAACTTGGCAGATGCTTCAAAAATAGGAGATGAAATTAGGGATTCAGTCCGAGTGTCCCATGTGCTGTCAGTCGACTTGATTTCCACTTCTGCAATAACAACCATTGGTGATAAATATGGCAGTGTGCCACCATGGCTTGAGTGAGAGGTGTCTGCCAACACTTAACAATAGCTACTCCTCCTGAGGTTTCCATTCCCAAAAACCAATAGGTGAGAAAAGATAAGCGTTTCTCTTTCAATATATTACTTCACCTTGAAGAATATGCTAAATGAAGGAAAGGTTAAATATATTTTAGTAGCCTGGTCTCATGAGTTCCTAATTTTTTTGCCATATGTCACAGCAGTAAGTGGTGAAGAGACTGTCTGCATATATAAGAACTCTTTGTAAATCCCACATAATGAATCCCCCCCCCCCCACCCAAGGAGCCATCAAGGAATTTGGTTTGAAGTATAACTGCCCCAGGGGTTTAACCTGAGCAAATATATCCTGGTATATGTCTAATCATATACAGAAATCTGTTCAAGTCGTATGATCTAGTCTTTACAAAACCAAATAAAACTCACTTTCTGTAAAGTTAAAGAGCTTTAGGAGGTTCCATAATATAACCATATCAAACTTCATTTTGTTAGAGCAGGTATAGGAAACAGTACATAAGATTACCAGTCATCACCTTGTATTCCACTAAATAAATGCATAAGCCTTATTTGCAGTGTCTGTAGTGATTTTTAAAATGTAGAAAAAAATATTATGTGTTCTAAATACTTTTAAGTGATAACTATAAGACTATATTGATGCTGCAGTTCTATCTTCATATCTCTTGTTGTTTTCTTTTTTTAAGTCTGTTTATTGTTTGGACACCGTATTTTGGCACAAGGAAAGGAATCACCAAAATGTGTCTTTTTTTTACTAAATTTTAACCTGGACAAAAACTGGTGTATTGTAATTCTCCTATAACTTCCTTGTACCAATGGTTAACCAGCATTCCTATTAAATCTGTCATTTTAAAATTAGCTTTATTGTGAAATTTTCCCGCAAAATAATCCCACAAAGGTCAAAATTTTATAACTCCTTTTAAAAAAAGTTGACATTTCAAAAAAATATATTTGAGGCACAGTATTTTGAACTAAGTTGTGTTTTGTGATACTTTGCTTCCACCTTTCTTTGTGACAAATCGGACACTAAAAAAAGTTGAATCTTTTTTGTAGTTGGATACTGTATGTTAAAATTTGCTTGGTAATTATGTCTGAGAGCTGTAGTGGAATGCATTCATATGGGAACTAGGTACCTTTTTCTCTTTTATTTTAAAGTAATAATTGCACCTGACATAGAAACAAGGACCACCCACGGCCAAAATTAAATGCTTGGTGAGACACATGTGGTATTAGATGACCACATCTGACAGCAAAGAGGGCAAAAACTGGATTCTTATTCCACATAGCCATTTAGATTACTAAAGAGACTGTGTATAAACAGTCATCATTACAGTACTTAAGACCCTAAAACAGCTTCTAGCAAAATGTATCAAAGCTTGCAGTATCCAAAATTAGAACACAGTTTCCCCCTCTCTCCCACCATCCTCCTCCTCCACATCCATCCCATTAGCGATAGGTACAGAAACAGTTTGGTAAGGAGAAATGAGATTCTTCTGCATTTTTTTAAATGACACCTTTGATCAATATTAATAGAGAATTCTGGTCCCTTTTGCAACTACTGAAGGAAAAGAAGTTTTGTTTCAGAATGTCATAATTTAAAATAAATAAATAAATTGGGAGTTCTTCCTGTATGGAAAGTGTGGGTCCGAGCCCAGAGACTGAAGGTATGTCAACCACAAATGTGTGTCCATGTGAGTGTTGGTCATGAGGAGACTCCTAAGGATAGAGTTACTTCCTTCTCCTACCTCCCAAAAGGCTGAACAGTATATAGTATGTTACCTTTAAATAAAAACAATAAAAAAAAGCTCTGGGAAAAGAAAATACAAATATTGTCTTTGTTTGTTTTATCAGCCTAAAACTCTACCTGGTAATAAAGCAAGAAGCTGGAGGGTTGTGTGCATGGCAGGATGTGGCTAAATGCCCCACGGCCACAAACAACAACAACAGAAAAAAATTACTCAAACATTTGTAAGGTTTCTGTAATGTTTTACATGTGTGAGTCGGCTATCCTGACTCTAATAACAACCAAATGCTTTCAGTTTGCCTAAGCATTTGGGTCCCCTCGTTTACACAGTGGATAAAGAAGAATGAATTGAAAACAAGGATGGCTTGGGAAACAATGAAATGCTCTTGGAACACAGCCAAGAGACAAGAGATGGAAAAATACGATTCCCAAGGGATGGACCAAGCCAATGAATTCGATTTACAAAGTGGGGAGGAAAACAGTTCATCAGAGTGCCAGTTATTGCCATCTTACTCTAGCAAGATGATAGACATGATTTAGATGTTTCAGTGTTAACACTGGATATTAATAACAATTTAGATGCTGTTAATTTAGGATTTGATTATTCAGTGAAATAAATTAACCTTTGGCCTCTCAGTAAGTTAAACATGGTCTAAATAAAGATACAGGTAGGAAGCTTGAAATACTTCAGAGGAAATAATCCCATATGATAAAGCGCTATACCCATGAACCAACAAATGTCTATAATGAGCTCTTGTCTATTTGCCTAGACAGGACTTTTGAAAGAAGAAAATGACCTCTTAGAAAGATAACAGGGGCAAAGGGGAAACTCTTGATTTCTACCAGAACTGGACAAGGAACCAACGAGGATCTGTTCCCTCTTATTTCAAACTGACTTTTGGTGGTTGGCTGATGCTTGCTTCCAATTTACTTCTTTCAACTTCCAAACTCAAAACCTTATCAGGAATGAGAGCTCACAGACCAACTTCTAGACTAATCACTATGTCGAGAGGTAGATCAGTCTTCACTAACACGTCCGTCAAGAGGGAAGGTAGAGATTTTGGTAGCCCACGGACTACAATGAATGAAAAACCATGCATGAACATAAAAGCAGTGGCTGGCAGGTGTAGAAATGGAATGGCTGTTAGCTACATCTGGTCAAAAGAGCTCCTGACTTATATTTACTTTTATCACATTTTTACCAGTTCCAATAATTCTCCATATGTTCAAATCAGAGAGAGTTCAAGTAATTTTTTATAATTTTATGCATTTTAATAAAAAAGATTACACTTATTTTGATTTAATCCTAGAATAGGGCTCCAAATACAAGCTAGCACACTGAGGAGCTATAAACTTTATAAAATGATCATTGGGTGAGTGTAAGTTTTGTTGAATAAAAGCCTATCCTCTTTGCCTTATTACAATGTGATGTTATTAATACTTCTATAAGTTCATCCCAGAGTATGCAATAGTATATTCAAGTATGCCAGTATATAGAAAATTACATGCCATTAGTTTGTTACTTGGAAAATAAAGGGAAAAGGAAAAAGAAAGTCTTGATCTCTATTTCTGTTATATCTTGTATACATTCATCATAAAACAAATAATTAGCATTTCTGTTTCTTCTTCCAGAACTAGAAGAAAATAAAACACTAAATGCATTTATAAGGGGAAAAAATCCAGTAAAAGCACATTTATAAACATGATGTGTTAGTTAAAATAATAATGATCAAACTAATGCAAGCAAAGAAACTGGTCTCAATCCTAGGTGCATAATAATGAACAATAAATCATGATAGCAGCTAAGGGCAAAAATTCTGTACTCAGAGACAACTCATATGTCAACCATACATGCATGTGGCATGTATTATTTTGCACATTTTACTTTATTTTATTTTTCCTCACAAAAGAGCCTACGTTCATTTCTTGGTATAGGCAATTACATCCTCTAAGATGAGCACGGCAAATGAAGAATCAAAACATCCTATGTTCCTCATTACAACTGTAAATTGAACATATGCCTTCATACATCTTCGGCAGTGACCCCAGCTGTAGAATAACCAACTGCAGTATGGCCTTAGCCCTCTTGAAGTTTGGTTTTAATTACTTTCTACACATCTTAAATGTCTAAATCATCTTACAATTTTCTAATTTATTTAAGTTATCATTTCTGTGGTCAATTTAAACTGCTGACAATGCAAATATTCTCAGAGAGGTCTTTCAAGGGGAAGTAAATTAAAAACAGTGTATTGTGAAGTATTATAAATTTTCAAAAAGACTGTTTTTAAATAGCTATGGAAAACATTAGAGTTAGGAGTCACTTATCAATTCAATTCAACATTGAAAATATTTTAACACGTGGTATTTAAATACCAGACTTTTCCATAACCATTTCTGATGTCATGAATCAATATGTTCAGGGTGGTATTTATAAACCAACATCTGTTAAATGTATTCAAGGAAAGTTTCTGTCTTCAAGGCTTGTTCTAACATTGAAAGATGAT